GTCTGGCACTGGCTGTTAACAGTGTGGAGTGTTGAACAATAGGATAATCATGGAAGTCTGTTAATTAATTGTGTCTGTTGCATCGCCCACCTGCAGGAAATCAGGCTTTTCACTGCTTCACGTGCTGCATTCTGGGGGAGCGCCAGATAACATGGTGACCAGCAGGATGCAGCCTGCCTGATGCAGAATGTCTAACCTGCCCTGTCATCTATGACAAGGTAAGCAGTAAGGGCCAGATTTACAAAGGGATTTAGGCACCTAAAGATACAGATAGGCGCCTTGTGGGACTGTCAAGAGCACCTGAGCAGGCAACTCACTTACATTGATTTCAAAATAAATCTCTTTAAAAATCTGGCCCTAATGCTGTAGCTCTAATAATAATGGGCTGAGCGAATGATTTTCCTTTCAGTAAATTCTCCATGAGCAACTTATGATTTCCTCCCATTTAATCGCTGACTAGTTCTTGGTGCGTAAAGGCTTCTATCTACTCCCCTGGCCTTCACCAGGAAAGTTCCTGAGCTCCTCACAATCACTGCTGTATTTCTCCCCACAATACCCTGTAAGATATGGCAGAGCTGGTACAAAGCCCCTGGTACAGATGGGCACGGAGACAAAGGGTAGATTACATGGCTTGCCACAGCTCTCACAGGGAGCTTGTGGCTGAGCCAGGGATAGATCCAGGGGTAACACTTTCCAGTGTGCTAAAATGACTTAGGTGCTTGTGACGTTGCACTCCATATGTTTTATGGAAATACGCTTATGAGTGTGAATATGATGTAAATGGAATATGCTTTCTGCAAAAGGTCTCTTGTAAGGTATCATAACAAAGATTATAACCTACTGAATATATTCCTCCTATTTGTATGCATGTATCATTCTTGTATCTGAAGCTAGAAATATGAAGTATAACTCTGAGGTCCTATTGTAATTATGCAAAGGGTGGGCCATTAATGGTGGTTTAGAATCTTGATGGCTTCCATTAACTAGGACAATCAATTGTAAATGACCTTAGTTACCTGAAAGCCTTCCTGTGTAACTGTGGGCCTGCCCATGGGGAATGGAGACTAGGGGGTCTTACAGTAACATGATAATGAAATCCATCTTAAATCTGGTACTTTTCCATTTAGAAGGAGGGGTGGGGACCTAGAGAGTCAAAAGATTCCTGCCTTGTGCCAAAGCTATAAAAGGGGGTGGAGCAGGACAAAAGCAACTGCCAGTCAGGAGAAAACCTCTGTTTACCACCTGAGATGTCTGCTGGAACTAACGAGGACTGTACCAGGGGAAAGGATTGGGCCCAGACTAGGAAGGAGTCTAGTTTGTGAAAGAAGCTTATTGGAACATCTCTGAGGGTGAGATATTATCTGTAATCAGTTTCTTAATGTATTAGGCTTAGACTTGTGTGTTTTTGCTTTATTTTGCTTGGTGACTTACTTTGTTCTGACTGTCATTACTTGAAGCCACTTAAATCCTACTTTTTACACTTAATAAAATCACTTTTGTTTATTAATATACCCAGAGTAAGTGATTAATATAATCACTTAATAAAATCACTTTTGTTTATTAATATACCCAGAGTAAGGGGAACCAAACAGCTGTGCATCTCTCTCTATCAGTGTTATAGAGGGTGGACAATTTATGAGTTTACCCTGTATAAGCTTTATACAGAATAAACGGATGTATTTGGGGTTCAGGCTCCCAGAAAGGCTGAACATTGGGCACTGGGAAAGTCCCTGTTAACTGGGAAGCCCCTGGGCTGAGTAAATCTCAGTTTCAGTGAACTGCAGGGGAAAGTGGTCCAACCTCTGGTCTGTGCTGGAGCTGACTGAAGTGTCTAACTCAGCAAGACAGGAGTGGAGGGGCATCTGTTCTGGCAGAAGGTTGTTCTCAGTGGTATCCCAGCTCATCGAGTGACGGTCTCGAGGGGAGTCTCTGTGACCGAACCTGTCACAGTGCCTATGCCCCATTTTCAAAAGTGAAAGTCAGTGAGACTAAGGCTTCCAAGTCATTCAGGCCATGTCCACACTAAAGTTATGTCTCCCTAATTTACATTAGCCACCGCAGTTATTATATCGCTTGTGTGGGCGCACAGTTGGCTCCTTGTGTCAGCAGTGCATGTCCTCACCAGGAGTGCTTATATTGATTGTACTGTCAGTGTGGGGCATTGTGGGATGGTTCCTGAAAGCCAGGAACAGTCAACGTAAGCAACGCAGTGTCTGCACTGACACTGAGTCGACCTAATTACATACACCACTCAGGGAGGTGTGTTACTAAATCAGCATAGAGAGGCACTTATGTCAGGGGGAGCCAAATTTAAGTGATGACACTTCCACAGCTAGATCGATGTAAGGCAGCTTACGCCAGCCTAACCATGTAGTGTAGACACCTGGTGTAGATTCCAGGCCTTAGACGCTTTTGAAAATTTTACCTCCCGCCCTGTCTCTTGTATCCCTGGCCAGCGCTCTGTCCACCAGACCAGCCTTCCAACCACTTCTCTGCAAGGCTCCTACAGCCGAATTCAAGCTGTGCTATTCAGTTTCACTTGGGCAAACAGACCATGTTGTGCGTTTCTTGCCCTTGACCGGAGGAGCCTGACACTTTGGTTCAGATTCCTGCTGTGAATGGGAGTACGTGTCTACATGAACATTTAGTTTGCAGCAGACTGGGATGTAAATCTACCCCATACCAGCCTGCTGTGCACTAACTGTCCTGGTGGATCCTGCTGACATGCCCTAATAGCTCCTCGGTGCTCTTTGATCCACTCCCACTTCATAGTGAGGTAGATCCAAGTGCACTAAGGAACTGTTAGTGTGCTTCAGCAAGGTCCACATAGACACTCGGGGCTTGTCTACACTTAAAACACTGCAGTGGCGCAGCTGTAGCTTCAGTGAAGATGCTACCTGTGCTGATGGGAAGGGTTCTCCCACTGGCATAGGTACTCCACCTCCCTGAGAGTCAGCAGCTAGATCAACGGGAGAATTCTCCTGCCAACCTAGCACTGTCTACACTGGGGGTTAGGTCAGTTAAATGTGTCGCTCAAGGGTGTGGATTATTCACGTCCAAGAATTACATATTTATTCGGACTTAAACTCCTAGTGTGGACTAAGCCTCTGTGCATGGCAGGTTGGTGCAGGGTAAATCTACACCCCAGCTTGCCTTGAACTAAATTTTCATGTAGACAAGCCCTTATGAATTAAAAATTTGTTTCCATGGCTTTTCTCTAATATTCTCTTGACATTCTCTGTTTCTGTGAACATTCTATTTGCAGAGAATGACTACAAACATGTCACAAAGGCTGCCAAAACAAATTTGACTAAAACCACAAACGAATATTTGTGGAATTGTGTGTGTGCGCGCACATGTTATATGCAAAGTTCTACTAATAACCTAGTGAAGAATACAAGAGGTGTAGAATTTCTGTAACAGTTGTGATGGACTCAGACCAGAAGGAGATAAGAGTGTGGGGGAAGGCAGGTGTATCAGCCTCAGGATGAGCAGGTACCTGTTCCCTGGATAGCCAAACAGGGGCTGCTCCAGGCCAATTGGGACACCTGATGCCAATTAACCAGTTAAGGCCGTTGGGTTAATGAAGACAGTTGGAACCAATCAAGGTCCCACTCATACTGCTTAAAAGCTCTCCTTCCAGTTCCCTCAGGAAAGCCCCAGTGAAAGGAGCTAGAGGAGAGGAAGCATTGCTGAAGCCTGAGGTAAGGGTGAAGCTAAGAAAAGGGGACCATGGGGAAGTGGCCCAAGGAATCAAAGCAGCTCCAGTGGCAAAGGGGAAACCATCAACAGTTGCTACCATTAGGGTCCCTGGGCTGGAACCTGGAGTAGAGGGTGCCAGGGTGTCTCCCCCCGCCCCCCTGCTCTACAGAGATCCCCTTGAGAGGGGAAGCAGGCCTTGGTCCAGGCAGGAGGCCGAATTGCACCTACTAGCTCAAGGGAGCAACAGAGACTGTGGGGTATTCCCCCTTTCCACCTCCCATACTGGCCTGTGATGAAAGTTGCTCGATAGGCTGTGACCATTGCCACTACACTGAGAAAGGGAGGTCACATTGAGGGCCTTAGCAAGCTTCTGAGGCCATGAATCTACCTGGAAGCACGGGACCCACCAATACTGGCTCGGAGGTTTGTCACACAGTTCACTTGCAGTGTACTAGAGCAGGGATGGCCAACCCGAGCCTGAGAAGGGAGCCAGAATTTACCAATGTGCATTGGCAAAGAGCTGAGTAACACGTCAGCAGCCCCCCGTCAGCTCCCCAGTGTCTCCCACTCACCAGCAGCACTGCTGATCAGCACCTAACCCTCCATCCCTGCGCCTCCCGTCCGCTGCGATCATCTGTTTTGTGGTGTGCAGGAAGCTTGGGGGCGGGGGAGGAGGAAGAGCAAGGGCACGGCAGACTCAGGGGGAAGGGGCGGGGGCCTTGGGGGAAGGAGTGGAGCGGGGCCTGGGGCAGAGCAGGGGGTTGAGCAGTAAGCACCCTGTAGCACATTGGAAAATTGGTGCCTGTTGCTCTAGTCCTGGAGTTGGCACCTATGCAAAGAGCCGCATATTAACCTCTGAAGAGCCGCATGTGACTCTGGAGCCACAGGTTGGCCATCCCTGTACTAGAGTGTTGTGATGAATGGGCAGAGGTAAAACTCTGAATGCAAAGTAGAGCACTCTTTTCTAATACTAAATTAAATAGGACAAATTTAAAAAAAGTCTTAAAAATGGTAAATGATTTACTGTTATCTAGGACAGAACTTCTACAGCAAATGGCATGATTTCATACCTCCTTTCTATTTCCTAGCATGATGATGAAAAGCAATAAGTAAATACATAAAAAATAAAGACTCTCCAGACCTCATAGTATTCATTTTAATAGTTGCTATTTAAGCACACTGATGGAAATAGAGATATGCACCTTTCAAACTCTGCTTACAAAGGTTGCAAAAGCTGTCAACAGAATGGCCTTTGATTTCCCCCCAATAGATATAAAAAAGGAAACAATTGATGTTTAAATTGCTTTATTTTGGAATCCATAAATATTTGTTACTGACAAAAGTGGAAAAATCCTTAAGACTCTAAATTTTACTAAACTGATAATATTTTTGTTTACAGTACATATAGAATGTGCTTTTACTGGTAAGTATAACAACAAGAATAATACAGAGAAACAGTCAAATACTGCTCATCTTGAAGCTTATTTAATGGTTAACCAAGAGTCTGTGCAAAGTTACAGATACAAATGTACTTTCTCATCAGGACTACTGTATAATAAACACGGAATCCATAAATTGGGCTAAAGCACAAAAATGTCCACCTACCCCCTCTTAGGAAATATTGTCCCCCAAACTAAAAATATTACAGTAAGAAATGTCTTTCTTGGAGCCAAGAAATTCTCGCTACAAAATTTCTAACTGATTTACGGAATGAAGATTGTAAGAAGCTATTACAAAGCACATGGGCAGAACTTCAGAATGTCATGGCTCTCACATTTCACTGCTGTCGTGAATGGCACCGACAGTGAGAATTTTCACGCATAATGAAGAGCACAAAAGAGACACAAAATGTCATTTCTCTAACTATTGAGATAGTAGATCACTTTCAGATTTACATAAATATATTGGAACACAATAATTCCATCTCCGTTCTAGCCTACGGGCTTTCAGCGGGTCAAATGTAGATTTTATTTTTTTTAGCCAGTCAGACTTAGAACTAACAAGGATATCTCAGTTGTAAGCCTAAGCCAGCTAAAGACAGCCTGCTAATTACATCTTTATGATCAGCTTGTGAATAAAACAACATACAAGTGGCTATTTTCTAAGAAACAGCCGGACACAATTATTGCTAACAACACTTTTTTAATGAAAATATTTAATCCAACTTTTCAAAACTTTCCCATAGTTTTACCTCCCCAGGACATGAAATCTACATATATTAACCAGCTTTCAGTGTAGTTCCTCCTTCCAACTCTATAGAATAAATCTGAAACTAAAGCTAAAACGAGCTAGTCCTCTGCTACATAAACTGAAAATGGCTAATCAGTCACAAATTAGAACATATACTTCCATTACAGTTAAATGTTACCCTGTTTCATGAAGCTTTGTTTGTTATGAAGAACTTTTCCCAACTGCTGGGAACTCTCCCCCTTTTCCCTGGGATGATTCTGCTTGTATAGAGTCAGCGCCCAAAACCCATCATGTTGCACATTTCGGATGTGGATTGTTTTGATACATGGTATTATATCTGCAGCTGCGAAGCCAAGCCTAGCTTCATGGGCCTGTCATTGCATGTGGTCAGGAATGCAGAGCAGAAAGTAGAAATTAACTCTGGGCAAGGAAAGGACATCTTGTATCTCGGTAACCATTTCCCACCTCACGCTTCTCCACATCCCTGAATCAGAGTGTCGTTTAAAAAAGGAACATCAAAACATTGGAAAATATTGTCATTTTTCATTAAAACACAATTTGATGCCTTTAAAACATAACTGATAACATTTCCATCAGCTGTGATGAAGTTTTTATGTGATATGTGGTTCCTTTAAAAATAGTTTCCATATTTCAAAGACTGTGTCTGTAGATCTCAGGAGATAAGATTGCTACAGGGTCAGTCTGAATTCTGGGGTTCCTCAATGAACCCACTGTTGTATAACACTGCCTGGGGCATGCAAAGTCAATACCAGCTTGTAGGACAATGCTATAAACCTGTGACATATGGTGCTGGACCTTCCTCTTCTCTCCTCCCCCCATGTATTTTGGGAACTTGGCACTCTGCTTATGGCCACCCACAGCTAGGACAGAAGATCATAGAATCGGAAGGGACCTCAGGAGATCATCTAGTCTAACCCCCTGCTCAAAGCAGGACCAATCCCTAGACAGTTTTTTACCCCAGTTCCCTAAATGGCCCCCTCAAGGATTGAACTCACAACTCTGACTTTAGCAGGCTAATGCTCAAACCACTGAGCTATCCCACCCCCTGAAGAGTCAGTGTAAGCCAGATCTACCGTACTGAGGAATCTGGACTACATGGTGCTTTTCTCCTGAGGAGAGGGTCATAAGGTGGCTCAGACCTGGGCAGGATGAAGTAAGGAAGTTGAAGGATGTGTGAGAACTGCCATGGGGACTGCAGCTGGCTAGAGAGACAATGGACAGGTTACAGGAAGGAGAGAAGTAAACCAGCGGGTTATTCTGTGAAGCTGCCCCAACCAGCACACTCTCTCTCTGAATAGGGTGACCATATGTGGACTCTTGGCAGCCCAGACACAGTAATGTAGCACATGATCTTCCAACCAACAAATAACAATGCTAGTACTAATTATAATACTTTGCTCTTCTGCGGTGTACTCGGCAGCTCTCAATGCACTTTACAGACATTAGTGAATTAACCCCACCACACCCCAGTATTATTATTATTCTCCTTTGGGTAAAGGGGAGCTGAACAAAGCACAGCGAGGTCGCCCTGCCAGTCACTGGCAAAGCTGGGACTAGTCCTCCAGCATCATCATGACTCCCAGCCCCAGGCCAGGCATCCTCTGAGTGACAAGCCCTCAGAAAGAGGAACAAGGAGGAACTCAATCCAATCAAACACAGTGGCTTGTGCTGATCATTGCTGTGCCAGTTACCTGCCTATCATGCCACACAAGGCAAGTCACACAACAGAGCGGTGTCCAGAAGAGAGATGCAGCATCCAGTGCAAGAAGCATTCTCAAGAGCAACTGCCAAACCTCACTTTGATGGCGACTGCTTCCCTGAAGAGGGTGTGCATTGAAGGGTCTGTTGATTGCTCCTGTGGGATACATCAGCTTCACCCAGCTGCATGGGTGAAAGAGACAGGGAGAGAGGGGCCAGAATTTCTTTGGAAGATTATTGCCCAAGTAGGACAGGCTGGCAGAGGGCCTGCAACCTTTGTGAAACAGGACAGGTGAAGCTCTGCAATCAAATGGTCTGGAGCACAACACAGCATCTGCGCAGAGTACTTAGGAAAAGAGGTTTGGTAGCTACACCTACTCCAGTAGCTCCTTAACTCATGAACTGAAAATGGAAGCAAAGAATGGAGTTTGTGGGAAAAGAGCCATCCCAGAGAGCTGTGCGTGGCCATAGAAGAAGAGAGATGAGTGTCCTAACCCTGTGCCTGAGCATCCCAAACTGAGCCCTGCTCTTCCCCCGAAACTGCTGGAAACCAGGCCTGTATCTCTTCTCACACTCTGTTCACAGTGGAATGGCTCTTGGTTTACACTGGAGTGAGAAGGGAATCAGAGTGTGGTGTCCTGGGTCTTGAACCAAGTCCTGGGATTTCCCAGACAGCTGCTGTATCCTGGCTTCTACCCAATGTCTGCCAAAACCTGGTGGGCCAAGAAGCTAGTAGGACTATATAGCCTCAGCCAAGGCACCACCATGGGCACCCTGATTGGTGGATTGCCCAGCTCCACTGATTGGTCCAATCATGCTATTTAAGGCAGGAGGAGGAACAGGAAGTTTGTCTGAGCAGCAAGGTGATTTCCTGTTGTGGCTGCATTGGCCCCTACTTGTGCCTGCCTCTTGCACCCAACCCTATTCCTGCTCCGCTCCTGCCTCATGGCCACCTTCGCTCCCATTCCCACCGTGGTCTGCTCTGTGCTTGATCCTTGCCTTTCCTCCAGTTCCTACCCTTGTGCCTCACCTCCAATCATCAGTTAACAGTCTTGGCTCCTTCCCTGGCCTCTGACTTCTGACTGGCTTGACCCTTGGCTCTGGCATTTGGAATCTGACCTTGGCTCTGACTCTCAGCTTCAATCTCTGGCTCTGGTAACTAGCCATTGATTCTGGTGCTGACTCTTGTCTCATTTCCCCAACCTGCATACCTGCTCCACTCACTAGTCCTGACTTCTGCTCTGACTACTAGGCCAGACCGCCTACATCCTGGTCCATAACGCAGAGCTCCACAGACTCTGCGATCAGCGTCTCCCTATCAAAGATGGCAGCAGCTGCAAACAGCTCCATTCTGTTTGGAATTAGCCCCACCCTTCAAGATGTGGGGAATCAGAGTGAAGGCGCAGGGGCTTGGTTTCTTTCTGAGAAGTGTCCACATCTGAAGGGCTGGGACTGGGCTGAGGAGGTGGGAGTGGAACGACAGTGGAGCGAAAGGAGCCAGGAGCTGCTCAGAGAGGCTGTTCCTCTGTCCCCTGTGGGGGCCATGGCAGAACGCTATACAAGCAGGGAGAGGATTCATTCTGATCACATGGCCCAGAGAGGTTTTAGCCCCGAGGGAACATAATACGGGCACCTAGACCAGGGTGACCCTCTTTTGTTCCATCCCAGCACAGTTTCTGTCAAACAAAGCCCTGTACTCCTCGTAGCTTGACTCCCTTCCCAACGTACTGAGCCCCGGGACCTAGAGACTGGGTCAAGCACAGCCCAGAACGGGGCCCTTGAGCACTGCAGCATGATGAGTGTCAAATGGGAACAGGTTCCTCACTAGGGTCTGCCTTTAACAGCCTACCCCAGGAGAACACCTTCCCACTGCCAGCCTGGCACCATGGGACCCAGAGTGCCTCAGAATACTAGGGGGAAGGGGGCATTTATGGGGTATGAGGGTTATGAGGAGGAGCAGCAGTTACTGGGTATGTGGGGCTAGTGGGGGAGGGTCTGTGGGGGAGAGGCAGAGAGGGGCCATTTAAGGGGAGTGTGTGGGAGGGGCAAAGACACCTAGTTACAGGGTAAGAGAGGAGGGGCCATTTATGGGATATGATGGGAAGGGCAGTTACTGAGTATGTGGGGGAGAGACAGAGAGATGGGCCAGTTAAATTAGCAATTATTAAGACGTGTATTTAAAATCTGAAGTCATTCATGATCTTATCCAGGCAGGGGGCTCCATTCTGCCAGTTGGGAAAACCTGTGCTCATGTGATGGGAACTGAATGTGTGACATATTGAGCAACTGTTGAAGGGTTATTAACATGGCCACAGACTTGGTCTGGGATGCTGACCTGCCTTTTGAAAGCTCTGAGATTCTTCCCAGTGCACAGAGGTATGTCCTAGTTTGAATTATTTCTACAGAATGTAAATACAGACTGAAATACAAAACACCTCACAACTTTTGGACCCATGAGTCTATTTTTGAAAGAATTTACAAATACTCTGTATCTAATTAGTATTATACATCAGATATACAACATGCCCATTTAGTATAATTATGTTGGATATATAATTTATGCACATGAAATGTAACTGTCTGCTCATATGACGATTGGAAAATATCCATCTAGTTTTGGGTTAATAGACAAACTTTTCTGTCTGTCTCTGTTCAAACAGATTTAGCAGAGAGTTTTCCATTCCTCTGAAATGGTGAGTCCTCAGTTGTCCCTGAGAGGAATAATTAGGCTCAGAAACAGAGCTGAGGAATTGGACTGGGATGAGATGTTAATAGGATGGTGAAATCGTGGCTCCACTGAAGTCAATGGGAGTTTTACTATTTCAACAGAGCCAGTGTTTCACCCAAAGTGCTTTTTAGCAATGTAATGATGGGTGAGTTTTGGTGCCTCTGGCATCATGTTGGCAAGAAGCTGAAACAATGAAATCCCACCCCTGTTTTCTATTTACAGACTGCAGAAATTAGGATGAGTGCAGAAAGGGCCTAACGAGCATTTCAGCATAATTGTGCTTATTGACATGTCAACCCCACTACTTCCTACACTGAGAGAGCAGGCGATTTTTAGGCACTATTATATTTCTGGTTTATGAGTATATTTAATATAAACAAGACTTCATTTATTAGCTAGGCTAATTGTGTCACTAGAACTGACAGTCCCCTAGTAAGCTTTGATTTTTAAATTAGGAAGAACAACAGCTACCTGGGGGACATCCTAACAGCTAATGCTTGACTGTGACTATTAGCAGCCAAGAGCAATATAAGTAGTCACTGAAAAATTCAGTACTGGCCAAAAGGGCTGGTGTGAGAGATGGTGACAGGGCCCCACCCTGCCAGGCTAGGATGCTGCAAACCTACTGTGGGCTCTGTGAGACTTGGAGCAATTGAAGTTTAAAAGTCCTAAATTCATAAAAACGAATGAGTTACAGCAGATAAGCCCTTGGAAGGTGCCACCAACTGCTATGGCTTTCTTTGACAGAAACTGGCGCATGTTGGGGATTCTCTCCAATTGCCCGTTTTTTCTTCTTATGTCAACAACATGAGAATGGTTTTAAAAACAATGCAGATGTGACTGTCAGAAAAGTTTTTTCAGACACTCAGTTAGAGGTTATCTTGGCCTGTAAGGCCACTGCAGTTTGGGGTGCTGGGGTCACACCAGTCCTTACTGATTATCTACAATGCACTGTGTCATATCAAACAGTCACCTCTGTTTTGCTCGCTGTGCGGTAATGGTGGTGGTGTCCTGGGATATAATGCAGTTGTTCCACTGTGTTGTGCCGTCGGGAGGCGAATGCTTGGCGCTTGGCGGAAGTTTGGTTCATACATAAGGTATTGTACAAGTTATTTGAGGCACTGGGATGGGAGTGCATCTTTGTCATCCTGTAGCGATCCAAGACAGGCGTAGAAACAAAGACGTCTGTGTGTGACAATGCGCGCGACATGGACTGGTCTGCGAAACCTGTGCGCTCCGGGGAGAGCAGGGGGTCTTGGGAATGGAGGCGCTCTGCGGACAAAAGCTGTTCATCAGAGAGGATCCGTTCATAGGACATGCTGAACTCCTCGGGCATGACCCTCTCAGGGGACAGCACCCTGTCCTGGGACATAGCCCGTATGGGTCGGCGGGGCCGTTCTCTGTGGTTGGTCTGTTTCTGAGACATTTGGATGACATTGAGAGGGAGGGTCCCTCGTGCTGCCAGATCAGGAAGATGTCTCCTCTTCATGTAATATTCATCAGCTTCTTTGTCAGCTGGGAGGGGAAAAGAAAGGGAAACAGTGTTAGGAGCAGCTGAGGGTGTTGGCACAGGAGGGAGAGTAGGGATGGTGTGCAGAGAACAGCGCTCTGGAACAAGGCCTCCTGGTGCACTGGATAATGTCTGAAGCAGCACAAACATGGAGACCCATCAGGCCTTTCACCTTATCCTTCAGAGGTTTAGCCATTGCCAGAGACAGCCATAGCACTGTGCTATCAATCATGGAACTCAAAGGTCTACTTGCACTGTGTGAATATGTATATATTACACATGGACACAGTGTACATCATGTGTATGCACACACAGCCATACAGGTACAGTGGGGATATCAGTTCGTACATGAGTGACTGTGTGCTATATCGCAATTGTAACATGTCACACAATGAATCCCATGTACTGAGTCCATGTCACAATATTGTGTGATTTGTAGTATTACCAGGTTACTGAGAATTCGAGATGGTTGGAAAACAAAATTTCCAGTCTGTGGGAAATTCTGACATTTAGAAATTTCCTTTTGTCCCAAATTGGAACAAAAAGCTGAAATTTCCAAATTTAGCATGAAACAAAAATAACAAAAAATGTGTTTCAGAAACACTGAAGCATCCTTATAAAAACATTTCATTTCGAAGGTCGAGATGTTTCCTTTCAACGGTATCATCCTGATTTTATATTATATTATATTATATTATATTATATTATATTATATTATATTATATTATAAAGTGATTTTGTTGTTTGTCAGTGACTGGCCATGAATGTCCCATAGATGTTGGTTTCAATCAGAGTCGCTCTCTCTGTATTTTTTCAAAAAAACCTTTTTTTTTTTGTAAATTCAGCTGCGAACTCGTTCTGAGGGACACTGTATTTTCTGTTTGGTGTTTAGTTTCCTAAGGGCACTGGATATCAGTGCAGAAATATGAGGTTCATCCCAAAGTCTCTGAGAAGCTCAGGGAAACAGAGGCTGACATACAAACCATTCAGCTCTGTGCGGTGCTGTTTGTTCCATGAAAAGTGAACTGGTCTGCCTGTCATTCTTTTGTCTTAGATGCTCTGTTACATAAATGGGGACTCAGCACATCTTCCCTTTTTGTTGGATTTTAAGCCACATAAGGCTTGGAGTGGAGGTATATTGGCCTTGAGATGTCTGTCTGACTCATTGGTACCACCACAGTACCTGACCCTGAGCAGGTAGAACAACCTGCCAAAACTAGGTTACAGCCTGAAGAAACAACCCCACAATTATTCCAAGGAAGCAGTTTCTGTGGCACCTTCTGGATCTTACCTTTGCCCTAATCCTGGGGAAATATGACCACCTGTTTAGAGTTGTGCAGTGTCTTTGGCCCTTGAACACTGGCCTGCTTGCATACTGCCATGGTGACCTTAAGTTAATATTGACACCTCTGTGATGATATGTAAGGGAGCATCTAGTCTTATTGCACACCATGCCCTAACAGCAGAATTCAATGTAATTCTTGTGTCATTGGGCTGGGGGACTGTTTAATGGCCAGGATTAAGGGTCAGTAAATTGCCTCTTCTGCATTCCTTTCACTGCAAGGCTTTCAGTGACTGCTCACAGCGTGTCCAGAAACATCCAACACAACCAGGCCAGGGGATCCCAACACCCCAGGACTTGTCAGTAGTCTTCACCCCAGAATGAAACACATACAGCACCCCTGACACGAAGTCACCTCTGCCGTGGAGGGCAGCACTTCACTAGCTCTCAGCATGCTGCAAAAGTGTGTGTGGTGGTGGCTGTGTCCACAGACATTGAGGCTAATGCCTGTGCAATATTTGTCCATGCAGAACAGACAGGTTCATCAAAATGAACCTCTCCTGCAACTGTATGGGATAGCAAGGGCTGAGAAGTGCATGCAGGAATATCGGTCCTTTGCTGTTTCCCTTTCCCTAGCTTCCTTGGATGGCACAAGCTTGTCAGTGAATTGCTTTGTGAAGGCTGCACACCTGAGAATATGTTAAGGACAATGCAAAACACTGGTTTCTCCAGCCTCTTATTCTCACTCAAGCTGAACAAGAGCATATTAAAGAGAACAGTAGGGGTGGGGGATGAAAAGCTTCAGCTCGTGGAAGCCTCTTTTCGTGTTCAGATGATGGAAAGAGCAAAACTGCTCACAGGCCAGTCGAAGCAGTCTCAAGGCAAGTGGGGCACAACATAGATGCCTTTGAATCTATCCTCGCTAAGGGGGCAATTACACAGAAACGCAACCCAAATGCTCCCTCTCTGTCTGATACAGCCACAAAAATGTAAGGCTGAAATGCCCTCGTGGAAGAGATATGAAGTCAGCTGGAAAAATATCGCAGCAATGCCAGAAGATATGGCCCCTGAAGTCTCTACAGGATGGAAGAAACGAGGAGAGGCTCGACAGAGAAGCTCGGCTGATTCTCCCCACCAGATAGTCTATTTCCTTAGAGAATACCAGCACTCCCACTTGGCCCAGCTGCCTGATTGTGGCCAGTGTCAGCAGAAGCCCACTAGACACAAGAACAGTTAAACATTCCTGGTGCTGCTGGTCAGCGCTAAAAACCTAGGCCGTGGCCAGTGGGATGTCAGCAGTTTCTTAGCAAGTTAACCATTGGGGGAGGGATAGCTCAGTGGTTTGAGTATTGGCCTGCTAAACCCAGGGTTGTGAGTTCAATTCTTGAGGGGGTCATTTAGGTATCTGGGTCAAAAATCTGTCAGGGGATCAGTCCTGCTTTGAACAGGGGGTTGGAGTAGATGACCTCCTGAGGTCCCTTCCATCCCTGATATTCTATTATTTCTATGAACAGCAGCTTGAGACCATGGACCAAAGCCTGATATGAGACTTAAGCAGTGCCTGGGCCAGTCTTCTGTACAGGAGTGAATGTCAGTGAGTTATCACTAACACTGGCTTGGCTTCCACTCTGTCCTGACCCACATTCTCAGTACCATGGGTGGGAAAGCCTCTGATTTCTAGTTTGCCTATATTGCACCATGCTCCTGCGTGTGTTGTCATCTGCAGGGATTGAATCTAGGGCCTCTGAATCTCCAAGCATGAGCCACTATTACCTGATCTACAGGGCCCAAGACCGCAGCAACCTCATCCCCCTTTATATGTGGTCCAGCCGCTAGATGGGGACAGAGCACCACATGGATAGGGTCTGGGTTATACCTACATTTCTGTCTCTATCATCTTGTTCTGTATTTGCAGGATTTTGTTCTAGGGAGTATTTTGGGAGACATTTTTTGTCTCTCCCACTAAACTATTATTTGAAAAAAGCAACTGTTGCAAGAGTGTTTTAGTGGAGTTCAGCTTGTGACACTGCACCCCATACTCATCACAGTGATATTATTATATGATTATGACATAATTCTGATGTATTATATGCAAGATAGGTCATGTAAGATATCATTGAAAAAATTGATATGCATCCGAAGAAGTGGGCTGTAGTCCACGAAAGCTTATGCTCTAATAAATTTGTTAGTCTCTATGGTGCCACAAGTACTCCTGTTCTTCTTTTTGCGGATACAGACTAACACGGCTGCTACTCTGAAACCAACCATTGAAAAAATTATGATTTACTGAATATGATTATCCTATTTGTATGCATGTATCATTTTTGTATCTGAAGCTAGGAATATTGATTATATATCTGTATGACAAATGTGTTTACACCTGGGGAATGCCCATTAGGCAGAATGCACTAAGTCTAGATGACTGGCTGGGAAAGGCTAGTAGAGGAAACAATAGGCCTTAGAAGAAGTTTATCTCCCACTGGGAAGATGGAGGGTGGGGTTGTGGGGTGGGGAGAGCAACCTGAGGATCCTACAAACAGCCTCTGACTCATGGTTGCTGTGGCACTACAGGGACATGTAATCAGGTCACCTGGTACTGGACTCCATCTTGGAATACCAGTGTTTTTCCACTGACTGGCATGGGAGCCAAGCTTTGAGATAAAGGGTTCCTGCCATCTGCAAAAGCTATTTAAGACAGGGGAGTGACATCATCTTGGTTCTTCACTGACTCCCTGCCCCAAAAAGACTCTGGGAATCACCTGTGGAACAAGGACTGAACTGAGGGAAGTGCTGGACCCAGGCTAAAGGGATTTTTAGCCTGTGAAAGGAACACCTGGGCTTTTTAAGCTGTAAGCAAGTGCAGTTGGCCCCTTAAGAATCACTGCAGCCTGCTTGAATCATCATTTAGGGTGAGGATTTGGTACTCATATCCAATCTCTTTAGTATATTAAACTTAGTTTGCATGTTTTGTTTGTTTGCTAGGTAATCTGCTTTGATCTGTTTACTGTCCCTTATAATCACTTAAAATCTATATTTTTGTTGTTAATAAACTTATTTTTGCTTTGTCTAAAACCAGTGTGTGGGAAACATAACTTGGGGCAGAAAGCAGTTACATATCTTTCTCCATATTGAGGGTGGGGGCAAACTTCATGAGCTTATGCTGTATAGATCTCTGTGCAGCACAAGATGGTATAATTTTGGGTTTATACTCCAGAGGGGGGATGTGCACTTGAGTAGTTGGGCAGTTCCTTAGCTGTAGCCTCCCCATGCAGCACTGATCACAGCTCTGTATATACTGCAGCTGGGTGTGTACCTATCTGTATGTGTGCTGGTCACTGAAGTACAATGTAAAGGGAGCCCAGGCTGGTGGGTCAGGGGGGTTCAGTGGTACCCCAATTCCAGGTGGCACCCCGGTGGGAGATAAACTTCTTCTAAGGCCTATTGTTTCTCTAATGACCCTCCCCAGTGAACCATCTAGGCTGAGTGCATTCTGACTAATGGGCGTTCCCCAGGTGTAAACACATTTGTCATACAGATATATAGTCAATTTTCCTAACTTCAGATACAGAAATGATACATGCATACAAATAGGATAATCATATTCAGTAAATCATAACCTTTTCAATGATATCTCATATGACCTATCTTGCATAAAAGACATCAATACTATGCCATAATCATATCATAATAATATCGATGTGAAGAATATAGGGTGCAGTGTCA